AACTTAAAGATCCTCCTTTCTTTGAACACTTGCTGAAACAAAAAAAGCGTTTGGACTAGGAAACTTCAAAGAATGCAGTGAAATAAAGCGTTGAGTCGCATGCCCAAATTTAGATACTCGCCAGGACTGAAGAAACTGTGTTAGGCGTTTATCCAGTGAGACTTTGAACTGCATACAGTTTATTAATGAGCCAGAACCTTTGGCTTTTTGTTTAACGGCGCTAAAGACTAGACCCGGAACTGAGTAGTTTGCCATAATTAAACTTCCACCAGAGTTAAATTTATTAACGGCTTAAAACAAAAACTGTTGCCATAATGAGGACTAGAGAAAAACTGAGCTGTACTGGCAAATAGCGTTTTAATTCCTGAATAAATACAATCAATGAGAACTTTTTAACCGCTATTTATTTTCAACAACCATTATTTCTGGACCTTTTGTTCGGACTTACGAATTATCAGTGAGTGTTGTTTTACGATCTGTTGTTAGTTTATGTTGCGAAAACACCGTGGTTTTGGGTTTAGAAATAGGAGTAAATGTCAACGTTGACTAATTTTTTTTCGCACATTCGATGTACTTTTTATACAACATGCATTAAATAGCCGATTTTGATTTAGTATGAAATTGGAATTTTATTGCTAAAAACCTAACTTTTAAAGTGCCACATCTCAAAAGAGTTAATTGAAATTTTAAAAAAAAATTTTTACAGTGATACTAAGTTTAAAAAAACAATAGGGCCAAAAAGAACTGTAAAAAAAAATTAAGTTCAACGAACTTTACGGTTATATGTAATTTGAATGAGCAGTGACTGTAAGTGGCTGCATCTAATGATTAAAGAGAGATGATCATTGTTGAAGAACTAATTGCATTTTTCTGAAGATTATGATAAAAAAGCAAAAAATTTAGCATCTTAATACAAACAGCAGAACACTACTAGTTCTTTCAATAAATCTGCCAAACAGGCATCGTATATATGCAAAAAAGTTTAGGTCAACGAAAGCAGCCAGTTTCATAACAGTAAGAAACAACGAAATACAGGAGAATCAGTAGACAAAATTGGGTTCGTTTGCATAGTGACTTAAGCGTTAACTTCTTAGCAAACCCCTGAATGTAAAATGATTGAAACAGTTTATGAAAAACAATAGTGTCTTTTTACAACCAAAGTTAAAAAAGAACTTATACTTAAAAATTTTACTAACATCTATTTAGGAAACAAATGCGACTGACAGCAGAAGCTGTTGTTAACGAAATGTCAGCAGAAAAATTGTTGCGAACATTTATAACTGACTTTGTCAACCTTTAACTGCTTCGGAAAAAGTGGTTTTTGTTATTGCACTCAGATCGACATTTTTTTCTACTGCGAGCTAACGATGCCGTACTTCTTCTCCTGCAATTCACGTCCGTGAGGATTCTTATGCGCTACGGCTGACACGTCAAGCGTCTTGCATAACCAGGTTCACAGTTTCCACTGTCATACCACCATTTTCTAACACTTGGAATAATTCTAACGCTTCCACGGTTCTTGTAGAGGTATTTGCATAATCCACAG